CAGAGCAAAGGGTCTGAATACTTAGGACCATGTGATATTTCAGTTTTTCTTTTTTAATAAATCTTCAAAAATGTCAACAATTCTGTGTTTTTCTGTAATATGGGGTGCTGTGTGTACATTAATGAGGAAAAAAAATTAACTTAAATGATTTTAGCAAATGGCTGCAATATAACAAAGAGTGAAAAATTTAAGGGGGTCTGAATACTTTCCGTACCCACTGTATATATATATATATATATATATATATATTGTAATTCTTAGTTCCTACTTGCAAAAACCATATTTGACAGTATTTTTTAAGTAAAAGTACATATAATTTTACATTACTTTTTAAAAACATTTAAAATTATATATGATCTATTTATTTTTTACAGTGTGTGTGTCAGAATATATATCAATATATTCAAAAGTTTGGGTTCGATAACATTTTTTTTATAATGTTTTGAAAAGAAGTCTCTTATATTTACCAAGTCTGCATTTATTTGATCAAAAAAATACACTAATTGTGTGAAATATTATTACAAAGTAAAATAACTGTTTTCCATTTGAATATATTCTAAAATGTAATTTATTCTGGCGATGCAAAGCTGAATTTTCAGCAGCCATTACTACAGTCTTCAGTGTCACATGATCCTTCAGAAAAAGTTTGCTATGGAGAAATACACAATTAGTTAATAAGCTAATAATGTGACAACCTATTAAAAATAAAAACACAAATATTGGGTTTCACAAATATTTTTATTGGATAAATATAAGTCTTTAATTACATTGAACTATTTTAAATAATAAATTCATAGTAATAACATTTCAATAATGTGATTCGCCATGTTGGATTGATTTTTCATAGCGGTGCATGATGCGATTGATTTCTCTGTAAAGGATACTTAAGATGTTCCTATAGAATTTGACTTCAAGAATGTACCTTCGAGAGGAGCCAATTATTTTGTGAACGCACCTTAAAATGCTGTCTACTTAGGGTTTGTAACCACCTTCAAGCTTGTATACATAAGCTTTTATAATAAGCCCTATTGGGTTTATTGAAGAAAACGGTGAAATCATGTGGGCTGAAAGTGCTTTCATAACACCTCATGATTAATTTAGCACGTTTCGATTGTATTGATGAAGAAACATTGTGTGAAGTGAAATCCCCCCTCTGGCTAGTGGGTGTGTGTGGTATCTCACTCAGAAGTAAACACACACACACACACACATCTACAGCAGATGTTAGTTGTTCTGATGATGGCTGGATAAGAACGCTGCTGCATTACCTGTTAGAAACCAGCGTAAACATTCTCCGCCATCTGCCACCATCCATCCATCTGCTTCTTTACAACTAGACCTTCAATAACCTTAGGCAACAACGGCCCTGTGATCTGCACCACGCATGGCTAATGATTCTGCCTCAGAATGCATTACGAGTGGAAAAATGCAGACAGCTACGGCGTTAATTATTGATAAACGCAAGTGGGAGAAACAAAGATGTCATGCTTGCTGTCCATTGACAGTTTAGGGATGGAGAGTTGCAAGTGTGTTACAAATTCCTAGTGTGATTCATTCATTTACTGCACAGCACCCTCTTGTGGCACTTAATTTCCTCCTCGGTGTAATTACTAAAGCATGCATCGTCACGCGCATACAGTTAACGATTTAAACAAACCCCTATAGAATAGTTTCAACGATAGTTGTAGTTTTAACGTTACGATTGCTTTCATTGTTTTAGTTTTTGTTTGTCATATTGATTTAAATGCTGGCTTATGTTCATATTTCAGGAAGCTGGTTTTGGTCTGACCTGATGTTTGGTGATCTGCTGGGATGGTGCGTTGATGCCCAGCTCCTCCAGCGGGTAGATGATCTGTCGTCTCGGGCTCACCGGCACCATAAAGTTCAACACCGCTGCCAGAGAGTGAAGACTGACATCCTGAGAGCAAAGAAGGACAAAGGAAGAAATGTTTGTCAAGCCCCGAACCAGAAATCAAGACTTCTGATAGAAAGCATTTGCTTGAAGAACCCCTGTGATGTTAAGTTAATATTTTAGTAATATTATGAGACATTTGCATGATAATTGTTGTCTGATGTTGGTTAATGGTCACATGACAAACATTGCTGATGTCTTTCCTTCTTGGCATTGTGTTAACACACACCTTAAGGCTCCAGACCAGCAAACTGCCAAAACATCTGCTTTTATGGAGGTGCTCACACTTGCTGATGAACAGTTAATCAAAGGCATTTGATTAGCAGAGCCTGACTTACCCTCTTAAAGGGTTAGTTCACCCAAAAATGAAAGTTCTGTCATTAATTACTCACCCTCGTGTTGTTTCAAACCCGTAAGACATTGTTCATCTTCGGAACACAATTTAAGATATTTTTGATGAAATCTGAGGGCTCTCTGACCCTCCCACAGACAGCAAGGTAACTACCACGTTCAAGGTCCAGAAAAGTACCAAGATGATCGACAAAGTAGTCTGTGTGACATCAGTGGTTCAACTGTAAAGTTACGAAGCTACAAGAATACTTTTTTGCGCAAAGAAAACAAAAATAACGACTTTATTCCACATTTTCGTCTCTACTGCGTCACTTGTGGACGCGCGTTCACGACAGTATCATGACGCGAGCGTGTGGCGGCGCTGACCCAGATCCGGTGTGATTCTTGTAGCTTCATAACTTTACAGTTACGATTGATCGTCGATCATCTTGGTACTTTTCTGGACCTTGAACGTGGTAGTTACCTTGCTGTCTATGGGAGGGTCAAAGAGCCCTCAGATTTCATCAAAAATATCTTAAATTGTGTTCCGAAGATGAACGAAGGTCTTACAGGTTTCGAACAACACGAGGGTGAGTAATTAATGACAGAATTTTCATTTTTGGGTGAACTAACCCTTTAATTCCTATGTTAACAGTAAGGGTGTCCTAACTTTGTCACACATGGCTTTTCCATTTTGGCTTTATTTTTGTTAAATAAATAATGACACGGTGTGATATGTCATGTGTTGTTCTTCATCTGAGGTTTTATTTTCCAAATTTTAAGACCTGACAAGGACCAGATATTTTTTTTTATTATGTCCTGATACAGAAAACCATGGAATTCAATAGGGTGTCTTAATTTTTTCACATGACTGTATATAATTGTTGTAAATTACAGTTGCCTTGGGAAAAAAAGGAAATGTCAAAATAATTATAATAATTTGATTTGAGACTACAAGTTACAATACTAATATTTATATCTGAAATTCTTCACTTTCAAACATTCAAATCCTCATTTGGCAAAATACTGGTGAAATTCTGAAAACATCTGTCCACTAAAAATTTTGCAAATAACACCAGACTAAAGTTTAATAGAACAATTAATAAAAGAATAATCGTGGATTTTAATGGTTTTGAAAGAAGTTGCTCACTAATTCTGCATTTATTTTTTTTAAATAAACTGTGAAATCATTAATATTGTTAAATATTATTACAATTTAAAATAAAAAATGATTTATTTTTAATGTAATTTATTCATGTGATGGCAAAGTTGAATTTTCAGCAGCCATTAATAACATTTTAAAACTACTTTAATAATATTTGTAATATTTCACAATATTACTATTTTTACTATTTTTGTTAAATTAAAGGCAGCCTTGCTGAGCATAAGAGACTTCTTTCAAAAACCTTAATTATTCCATAATTGACCTTTGAACGGTAGTATATAAAATAACATTTTATATTGATTTTATTTAATTAGTAGCTTTTCATCAACTCACGAAGACGACACACGTGTCCACTGCAGAAAAGGATTTTCTTACTCAGTATTTTCGTCTTGTTTTCCAGTAAAAATATCTAAACATTCTTAAATCAAGATACATTTTCTTGAGTAACAAAATGCCACAAGTCTTGTTTTCTGGAAAAAAAAAAAAAAAAAAAAAACTATCAAAGTTAAGTGAGTTTATGCTTAAACCAAAAACAAATATCTGCCAATGGGGTCAGAAAAATACATTTAATTCACAGGAAAAACACGATTATTTTTATTACCCCAAAGGCAGATGTTTGTTCTTGTTTTAAGCAAAAAACTCACTTAATTTTTTTCTTTGTCAGAAAACAAGACTAAATCTAATGATGTTTTACATCTCAAGCAGATGTATCTTGATTTAAAAATGTTTGGATATTTATACTAGAAAACAAGACAAAAATATTGAGTAAGATAATCATTTTTTGCAGTCTGAGATTACTGTTGTCTTTTTTTTTACTGGAGAAAATTGACTTTTGCCCACCTTATGGCTGTAATGGGGTGGATGAAGGAGGAAATAGAGGCAGGACTTGTGTGCCAAGCGCAGCACCTCCCTAAAGATATATTTGGTGTGATGCTGGAAAATGGGGTTGAGGAAAAAGTGACACAGTCGACCGTGTTCCTCTCGCTGGTGATGGCTGAAGTACATGAACCTCTCGACGTCAAAGTTGGCTCTGATGAACTCAATGTCCTGGGAGCACGAAATGCATTGCAAATGATTTATGGTAAGAAACAGCAATGACACACCATGACACATCATTAAAAATTTACCTCTTCATCTCTAATGATTATCAAACCAACAACTCGCCCCTCGACCTGCGCCACAAAAGCCTGAAGAGCAGTTCCATCCTGAGAAGGAGAGACAATGTTCAGACATCACAAGCACTGCTCTGAGACGATTTAGTAAGTGGTTTTTGACAGACCTGGTCTTTTCGGGCCTGTAGGAACAGATCCAGATCTTCACTGATGGACTCCCGCTGGCCGAGACTCTCAGTCAAACTCTGGACTGCTGGGATATCAGACGACACCGCCACTCGCACCTCCAATATCCTGATGGACAAACAAATATTAGTTTGAAACATAAGACATTGGACAATTCATGAATACATTTTGTAATGAATGTAAAAATGTTGCCACAAGATATTATCGGTAAATATCAATTGGATTCCTAGAAACAGCTGAGGTCAAATATATCAGAAGACAGAATAATTGATTTATCTTCAATAGATCATCTTTTGAATCTGGTTTTATGCTCTCACAAAAACTATAAAGGTCAGAATGTTGTTCTTTAATTTTATTGTGGTTTAATCATGCTTTATGGTACAATTCATCTTCTAAGGAACTATTGATTTGGAGATTTTTTATCCGCTCATTTAGATGATTCCGAGTGTGCGTGTACCTGGTCAATCCCCACCGGTGACACAGGTAGAGTTCCTGCGAGCAGGTGCTGGTGTCCCGAGGGGCGACTCTGATGAAGGACTGCAGCAGCGGGAACTCTGGAGTCAGTTTAGGTACAGAGATCACACAGAAATCCCGATCCTGCGGAATGTCATAACTATTTATGTCACATTTATTAGATTTATTATGTTACTTGTAAAACAGGACACAAAATGCTGGACTGTGCACTCAAGAATGAAAATACTGTCATCATTTACATTACCGCTTAAAGATTTAGTGGCGGTAAGATTTTTGTATGTTTCTCTTATGCTTACCAAGGCTGAATTTATTTGATCAAATGTACAGTAAAAATATGATTACAATTGATAATAATTGTTTTTCTATTTGAATATATTTTAAGATGTAACTTTCAGATGTAATTTTCAGCATCTTCAGTGTCACATGATCCTTCAGAAATCATTCTAATATGCTGATTTGCTGCTCAAGAAACATTTCTTAACATTAGCAATTTTGAAAACAGTTGTGCTGCTTTATATTTTTGTGGAAACTGATTTTTCTTTTTTATTCGTTGCTTAGAAAGTAAAAAAACTGCATTTATTTAAAATAATTTTTTTGCAACATAAGTGTTTTACTGTCACTTTTGATCAATTTAAATCACTTTTTCAGGGGAAAAAGCATTACAAAAAATGAAAAACTGACTGACCCCAAACTTTTCAATGGTACTGAACTCTTGTCTTAAACATGTATGACTTATTTCTTTTACAGTACACAAAAGGATATAGTTTGAAGAATGTTCTCTTCTGTTTTCCAAATATGACAAAAAGTAATATTCATAATAATAATGTTTGCTTGCTTCTCACACAAAGCCATCATAGGACTACTGTTAGGATTTTGAATTGTAATTTTTTTGTTAAATGATAATTTTTTGTTGGGTGAAACCTTAAACGAGCCAGTTGATGTACTTACCGGGAACAGTTTAAACAGGTACGGCAGGAAATCTGCTGATCTTTGAGGAAAGAAGACGACAACAGAAATGAAAGCTTATGAGCATCATCTGTTCTGTAGGAGCAATGATAAAGGCTGCCATGTTAGGCAGTAGTAAGAGTGTGGTCTAGTTGGTCTCGCTGTCACTTTAAGCATTCTACTCATTAATTACATGCTCATGCTCTGTGGGGAGCGACAGGCCTCCATATTCCACAACAGCTGGCCAATAAGGTGGCACACAGACCAGCTCAGCAGGAGCCAAATAACACTCAGACTGATTTTTACAACAGCTCCTCACTGAAAGCCACTGGAGCTCGGCCAGATGAGGACAGACAGTTTTCCTTTAACCAAAATTAATTTAATCAGTACAAGTTCTGATAACTTGCGTACTTCAGAGGAGCCATATTTTACACTTTCATAGCACTATCCCACTAAAGTCATGGTTTCTTGCACCAAAAACAGTCATAATTGAGATTTTCATGATAATTATCCACCCTGTCTCTGACCCTTTGAACTAAACAGGCTGTTCTGCTGGTTGCTAGTTAGTAACTTTCTGGTCCAAGAGGTCCTCACCTCATTTCAAATTTCTTTTCCATAGTGAAGAGCTGGATGCAGAATGCATTAGGTGGCCCGTCTGGTTCAGAGTCCTCACCTGAGTCCACAGTGTCTTTGATGCATGAATTTGGCTAGTTAGAGAAATCAATAGAGAAACAAAAATAAGCAATTCACATAAGGCATGAATCACATTTGGAAGGATTCGCAAATATAGTAACTGGTATTAAAATGCAAAAGATGATGTTTAGCGCTGACCTGAGATATGTCAGTAGGCTCATCTCCACTCTCCTGCTCTGCTGCCAGTTCACCCTGTGAAGGTCATTTGGGTAAGTTAAGTTATTAAAAATACATAAATTAGCCCTGAAATCCCTGATGAGCACCATTAAATATGCTGAATGTGTCTTTTGAAACTCACTTCCACAGGTTCTTTGGCTTCATCAGATTGCTGGGCATCAGTGACATTGGTTTCCTCCCCCAGCGATTGTGGTTCCTCTGGTTTTTCCTCTTGATGAGCTGGATTTGTCTTTCTCAATCCTTCAAATTCTTCAAGTTCAAACCACTTATTGAATAGCTTCAAATCCATGTGACCGCTCACACTGACAAAACCAACGACAGCTCCTTCACTCTGTGTAAGTATACACACACTAACACTTTACTAACAGTTTAATTAACACATTTTTTGGGGATTACGATACAAATATTGAGATATTTACAATCATATGGTAACACCACCTATTTGCTGAATGAAATCCAGTACTTCGTTATTACTCATTTTGGGGTGCTGATTCCAAAAATAGTGCCTGTTTCATAACATTTTCTCACAAAATATGATGCATTTCGTAGCATTTTTGTTTTCCACAACCATTTGTAAAGTGAAGTTGTCTTATATTATCCCGTAATCACCAGAAAACCTGCCACAAAGACATGATTCATGTCTTCCTCTGAGCCGATTATGACTTATTTGTTTAAATTCTCAGCCTATTTTCACATGTATGAATGAATCAAGACTTTAGTATAAACCTAATCCTGATTTCCACTTTCCACTCCTTTGCAAATTGTAAGTTAATGAGTAAGTTTTTGAACACTTGACATTTGACTGCTTTTATTTTGTTAAGTGCATTAAAGCTGATACATTTTTTGATAGAAAATGTAAACATTCTGAATTCTTATTTGGTGAAAAAACTATGTGATGGAAGGTTTTAATGGTATTTTTGAACATAGCACCATCAAATTAGATATTATTAGGCTTTTTCTGCTTTTTTCCCTCAAGATGCAGGGCTGTCTAATTATAATTGTGGTAAAATTGTGATGATAGAAAAATGCTAAATCTTAATGGTACTAAAAATAGGCTTCTTTTTCTTCAAATTAATATAATTCATTCCTATTTCTCTTTGATTTTGGGGTGAAATATGACCTGGACATGCTCTTGACAGATTTCATGAGATTCACCCATATATAATTTAAAACTCTCATAAAAACTGAGTTAGAGACCTAGAAAAACAACACCTCTGTAATAATTTATGAATTTTCTCTTGAAATTTTTTTTTTTGTAATTCTCCTGGGCAATGTAGTACAGCTTTCCTGCTGAATGGACGGGACATTCAGACAAAAGGCAAAATGGCTACAGATGTCTGGACACAATATGTTCAGTGTGAGTATGTCTTGGCAGGGCATGAGCTCTCATCTGCCATATGTCGCATGAACACATGTCAGTATGCGCCGCAGGGCAGAGAGTGGGGCGATCTGTCGTCCTGTCATTCCTGCGAAAACACAAACTAACACAATTTCTGCCCCACTTTGCATAAAGAGTCTGTGAACTTGAGAGGTTACTGGGCTCTTTTTCTCAAGTGATAAATCCGAGAAGCAAAAAAGCTTAAAAAAAGCTTAAAAAAGCTCTGAAGTTGCTTTCCTTTTTTTTTTTTTTAATCTTTAAAAAAAATATATGCTGATTTACAAAAAAGGCCTAATATTATGTAATTTGATAATGCTGATAATGCTAAAACTTTCCATTACGTACAGTTTTTTCTGCAAAATAAGAAAGCAAATGCATCATATTTTGTGAGAAAGTGTGACACGCTCGAGCAAAACAGGCACTATTTTTGAAATCAGCACCTCTAAAATGAGCAAGAATCTAGTATAGGATATAATTTCTCAAATATGATGCAGGGCAGTGTATTAAAAGAGTTCATATTTGTGTTTTTTTATGTGCCCAACCAAATTTTCAGAGCTTTATTATCCACATTATTTTTGAATCTCTCAATTGTAAACAAAACCAGACTAACTTCACAGACAGCTGCATGGTTCTCCTCGTCTTGAGCCTCGATGAGCTCAGACAGGAAGTACGGCCCGTGGGACTCCACCAGTGGCGTGATCTGCTCTGCAAATATGTGCATGAGGTCATCGTGATCTTCCACTCTGGGGAATATAAAGTTATTGCGCCAGGATTTTAATACATCACTGTGCTGCAAATGCCCAGTATAAACTGTATATTGATATAAATTGTGTACAGCAGGACAAAAACAGTCTAGACATGGATTATGATCGGCTTTACACTAGACGAAACTACACGACTGTCTGAATTTGATTGACACAAATGAGTGAATTTCACAGAAACATGGCTATGTCACTTTTCACCCAAAATACAAGAGAAAAATAAGAAATTATATTTTGCATAGAGAAAATGAAACCTATCTTAGACTTATTTTTTATTAAAATTAAGCATATTTCCTGCCCATTACAGTAATTTTTATAGATGTTTTTTTAGTTCTTTGATATTTTCATTGTTCTCATTGATGATTCTCATTAACTTTATTATCATTATTGCAAGACAAGTATAAACAGTAAGAATTAACAATTTTACATTACAATCAGCATAAATTAAAGGTAGTACAACTAATAGTACCATAATATAAGAATACTTTACAAATTAAATTATATATATTATATATATGTGTACATATATATTTTTTTCTATTACTCATACAGTATTTGAATGACTTACTTTAAGACTTTGAAACTTTTTAATCGTTTCAATGTTGAATGTGAATAAATGACTTCTATATTAAAATAATTACAGTCGAATTAATCAAATTAATAAGTACAGTAATAATTGAAAAATATAATACAATATATAACCAAATATAATTGTATAAATGTATTTGTTGAATGTGAATAAATGACTTCTATATTAAAATAATTACAGTCGAATTAATCAAATTAATAAGTACAGTAATAATTTAAAAATATAATACAATATATAACCAAATATAATTGTATAAATGTATTTTATGTTAGCATTACAGTAATGTATTGCAAATGTACATTTGGAAAATGTGCTTAATTCTCCTGAACATAATGCCATAATACAGTGAAATATGACCCAGCCACGCACTTGTCGGTTTTCATGAGATTCACCCATCCATAAGTAAATGAGAGGTTTACAAACCTGGCTCTGCGGATGCGACGTCGAGGGCAGTAATTGTGTCGTTGACAAACGTAGGCCGAATACTGAACCTCCTCCTTAACAGGCATCACAGGTTCAAAGATCTTCTCCAGTGCTGCCTCTGATATGAAGAGAATGACAGAATAATGTCTTAACAATGATACTGTCAATGCCAGCACAAAAAAAGTTCAATGTAATATTATACTCATTTATTTCCTACCAAGTGAGCCTCTGTAGGGAGTCAGGAGGCAGATGTATTCCAGCTCCACAACGGCATTGAAAACTGTTCTAGAATTTACATAGGAAGGAAATAAAAATCTTTGATTATTAAATTTGATTGAATGGATACAGGAAGGCATTGCTATACAGTCAATACAATTTGTGCTGCCTAAAACAAGATCCATATCCACCCTAACCAAATAACAACAGAAAAATCTTGTTTTATTACATTAGATATAAACCAATGAGCAGACTGTGTGTATTCTTCAGCCTTATAGGTGAACCTCACAAAACCTGTCAAGAACATGTACAGGTCACATTTGTGACCCTGGAGCACAAAACCAGTCATAAGTCGCTGGGGTATATTTGTAGCAATAGCCAAAAATACATTGTATGGGTCAAAATTATAGATTTTTCTTTTATGCCAAAAATCATTAGGATATTAAGTAAAGATCATGTTCCATAAAGATATTTAGTAAATTTCCTACTGTAAATATATTAAAACTTAATTTTTGATTAGTAATATGCATTGCTAAGAACTTCATTTGGGCAACTTTAAAGGCGATTTTCTCAATATTTAGATTTTTTTGCACCCTCAGATTCCAGATTTTCAAATAATCGTATCTCGGCCAAACATTGCCCTATCCTAACAATCCATACATCAATGGAAAGCTTATTTATTCAGCTTTCAGATGGTGTATAAATCTCAATTTCGAAAAATTGACCCTTTTTTTTCCAGGGTTTTGTGGTCCAGGGTCACATTTCACCTCAAAACCAAAAAAAATAAAAATGTTTTTGTGAGATTCACCTTTAAATGTTCACATCGATAAAAGAAAATACAAAGCAGTCTTCTTTTACCTCATTATCTCTTTAGCGCCCCCTATGGAGAAGCCAGGCTGAGCCACAAATAAATGCAGGAAAAGAGTGTTCATGGGCTGGAGGAAAGACAAACAGTCTGTCAGGGGGCTGTAAAATGGATATGTTAAATATTAATGGACATCACGGTTTATTTGCTTTGCCTACAGTGAATTTCAAGCCATTGACGTGATTCTGAAGTAAATTCGTCCAGCATGCCTGATCCACCAGCTCTTCTGTGGGGTGGTCTGAGAAAGATGCATGGGCCAAAACTTCATTCGTAGCGGTGCTCAGGGTCACGGCTAAATTTGCTTTCTCACTGCAATGAGAAATAGAAAAAAAATAATTCCATTCAATCAAACAAGTCTAAGCTATGAGCTATTTCTGATTATACTACATTATAATGAAAGTAAATTAAAGTACACTCTCAGAAAAAAAGTAAAAAAGCTGTCACTGCTGCGCCACCTTTTCAAAAGGTACACTCAGGTACTAATATGTACCTTTAAGTGACCAGTGTGTCTTTGAGGTACTGACAGCTTTTGTAACTTTTTTTTCTGAGAGCATAGTTAGTCTTACAAAAACAAAATAAAACCAAAATATATACATAATTTCACATGCATTCATGCATTAACATTAAAAAATTTAATATTTTAATTTAAATGTAATTTAAATATTTTAACACTTATAAATGACTTCTATATTAAAATGATTAATCTAATTAATTTGCATATTTTTCTCAATACAAATAAAAAATAAAGTGAAATATAATTGTATTTATTATATTTAAGCTTGCAAATTAAAACGTATTTATAAAATGTGCTTAATTTATTTTATTTTTATTTATTTGAAGAGACTAATTGCATGATCATTTTCATAACTTTTAACACTTACAGAAGATGAATGACATTGATTCTCCCAAACACAGCAACAGCTGCAGGACTGATCAGATTATTGATTTCTTCAGCATCTGACCACTCAGTTCTCCTCACAGTCACACTTTCAGCTTTACCAGCGGAAGAGGTGATGGTGCTCATTTTAAATCTAATACAATTAAGAAAATACACAAACATGCTTAGATACAGACATAAATTGTGCTATAGCTGTAAAGGTTTGCCATTTGTTTTTATTTGTTCATGTCTATACTACCAGTCAAATGTTTTAGACGCACACATAGAATTGCTAAACAAATCAATAACAACTCTTTAATTTCAGCTTCGTCGCTTGTACACAACAATACATAAGAAAAACAATGTTCATTCATTTACATTTAAGAAAAAATACAATATAAAAGCACTATAAAACAGACCTTTCGTGTTAGAATACTCAAAACCTGTTTTTAGCAAGAAGTATGTTTCACATAAACGTTCATCTGGAGTTACCGCTAACCGTTAGCGAGCGTCCTATAACCATGGTGACGGGGCTCCGTGACGTAGCTGCAGTCAAAGGTTACCGCGCGTCACTGCAAACGCGACGCGCGACACAAGGCATTGAAACGTCGCTAAAGTTTTAGCGGCTTATCGAAGTTTAAAAACGTTAAGAAATACGCACAGTTGCTTTATAATAAAGTGACAGGAGCGAAATAATCATGGCGTCCACCGCGGCGGGTAAACAGAGAATCCCGAAAGTGGCAAAGGTAAAAAATAAATAATGTTTAGCGAGTTAGCATTAGCATGTAAACTACGTTAAGCGGTCGTGTTTCACTGTAAACATCGACTGTATAGTATTTATAGATGTATATTGTATATTTGTATTTATTTTGTGTTGCGTGTTCAGGTGAAGAACAAAGCCCCAGCAGAGGTGCAGATCACCGCAGAGCAGCTGCTCAGAGAGGCGAAGGAGAGAGAACTAGAGCTGCTGCCTCCTCCACCCAAACAGAAGATCACTGATGCAGAAGAGCTCAACGACTATAAACTGAAGAAGAGGAAGGTACGAGTGCTATATGTTCTGTATATGACCACGACATATTTGGCAAAGTGCATAATGGTAGCGCCATGGTACTTTGATGCATACCATAGATAGTACTTTGTGGTTACTATATGCATGCACCGTGGTTTTTACATAATGTCTAGCAAACACGACGTTACCAATGTACATGTACAGAAAACATGGTATTGTCAAGTCGCATATTTATTTATATAGTGCTTTATTTATACAATACAGCAGCTTCTCATTAATAAACTGGAAAGTGTCAGTCAGTTATGAAACAACTTCAATACAATAGACAATAGTGTCATTATTCAGCTCAGTTTAGTTCTGTGTTGATTGAATTCATATCAATATCAGTGTCAGTGTTGCAAAAGGGTCATGCGTTATGAAACAAATCCAAGTTTATCAAGGTATGTGCCACAAAAATGCTGTGTATATATATATACATGGTTCATGCTTTAAAAACATGTCAATACCATGGTACATCTCCAGAAAACTTAGTATTAACATAGTGTTAATATATACAGTTATATATTTAGACATTAACATGTCCAAAAAACATGGTATTACCATAACATATGTCCATTAAACATGGCATTGTCATGGTATATGCCTCAAAAGACGTGGTATTACCATAGTAAAAGACCATAAAGCATGATACTGTCGTGGTTCGTGCCCCCAAAAGCATAGTATTACAAATAGACATGCCATAAAACATGGTGTTGCTCTGGAACAGGCTTAAAATATTATGACATTACCATAGTGCATGTCCAGAAAACATAGTGTTGTTGTATGTGCCCCAAAAATATAGTATTACGGTGCCATAAAACATGGTATTACCATGGTACATGCTATAAAAACATTTTGTTACCATAGGTAAAACATGGTGTATTACCATAATACATGTCCAGTAAACATGGTATTACTATTGTCATGTTATGTGCCACAAAAGCATAGTAGTATTACCAAGGCACATGTCATAAAATATTGTATTGCCATAGTACATGCTTTAAATATATTGTATTACCATGGTACATCTTCAGAAAACATGGAATTACAATAGTGCTTGTCCAGAAAACATTGCATTGTCATGGTATCTGCCCCAAAAACATAGTATTACCAATGTATATGCTTTAAAACACAACACTACCATGGTGCAACTCCAGAAAACATGGTATTATCATATAGAAAAACATGAATTTGCCATGATCCATGCTCTAAAACTGGCATTGCTACGGTACGTATCTAAACACATCCAACTTTTTTTTCTCAATACAGGGGTTTGAAGACAACATCAGGAAGAACAGAACTGTCATCAGCAACTGGATCAAGTACGCACAATGGGAGGAGAGCCTGAAGGAAGTCCAGAGGTGAGTTTCAGTTCGGTGTCCAATGACTGAATCGTAGACTGGAGGTGATTTCTGTAACTGTTTTTATTGCCTTCAGAGCTCGCTCTATATACGAGCGTGCACTCGACGTGGATCACCGCAACATCACACTGTGGCTGAAGTATGCAGAGATGGAGATGAAGAACCGGCAGGTGAATCACGCTCGCAACATCTGGGACCGAGCCATCACCATCCTGCCCCGTGTCAATCAGTTTTGGTATGCTTCCTCCTCATGATCATACAGACATTCAGACAACGATACTATGTGATTTTGTCTCCCGATTCATTCTTTTATTCATGCGTTTATGCACCAGGTACAAGTACACCTATATGGAGGAGATGCTGGGGAACATTGCTGGCTGCAGGCAGGTGTTTGAGCGCTGGATGGAGTGGGAGCCAGAGGAACAGGCCTGGCATTCGTACATCAACTTTGAGCTGCGCTATAAGGAAGTGGACAAGTCCCGCAGCATCTATGAGAACTATATCCTTTCATAAATAGCCTGTTTCATCAGCAGTGTCCGGATACATACAGTACACTCATATAAAGCGATGTATACTATATAGCAAATCTCAACTGCCTTATTCATGTCATTGCAAAATGAAACTATGTTATCACCTAACTCTTTATATAAAGTTAGATATATAAGTATATCCAACTTCAACTGCGAATATACAGTATACTACTTGCATAGGGCGATACACACTATGGTAAATCTCACCTGCTTGATTACTTGTATTGTGGCAAATTGTAACTATATTACCGCCCGGCTTTAATTTGCTAAATGCATAAAGCATGAAGATATTATAAACATTAACAACATGAATCTCTGTAAAGCTGATTTGAAATAATGTGTATTGTGAAAAGTGGCATACAAATATATTTGACTTGAAATGCATAAAATATATATAAATAAGGTTTATTATTTTATATTACACTACCAGTCAAAAGTTTTTGAACACCAAGATTTTTAATGTTTTTTAAAGAAGTCTCTTCTGCTCACCAAGCCTGCATTTATTTGATCCAAAGTACAGCAAAAACAGTACAATTTTGAAATATTTTTACTATTTAAAATAACTGTCTGCTATTTGAATATATTTTAAAATGTAATTTATTCCTGTGATTTCAAAGCTGAATTTTTAGCATCATTACTCCAGTCTTCAGTGTCACATGATCC